TCACCTGTACTGTTATCTCTTCTTACATGACAGTATCACTTCTACTGTTATCTCTTCTTACATGACAGTATCACTTCTACTGTTATCTCTTCTTACATGACAGTATCACTTCTACTGTTATCTCTTCTAACATGACAGTATCACTTCTACTGTTATCTCTTCTTACATGACAGTATCACTTCTACTGTTATCTCTTCTTACATGACAGTATCACTTCTACTGTTATCTCTTCTTACATAACAGTATCACTTCTACTGTTATCTCTTCTTACATGACAGTATCACTTCTACTGTTATCTCTTCTTACATGACAGTATCACTTCTACTGTTTTCTCTTCTTACATGACAGTATCACTTCTACTGTTATCTCTTCTTACATGACAGTATCACCTGCACTGTTATCTCTTCTTACATGACAGTATCACTTCTACTGTTATCTCTATTCACATGACAGTATCACTTCTACTGTTATCTCTTCTTACATAACAGTATCACTTCTACTGTTATCTTTTCTTACATGACAGTATCACCTGCACTGTTATCTTTTCTTACTTGACAGTATCACTTCTACTGATATCTCCTATTACATGACAATATCACTTCTACTGTTATCGCTTCTTACATGACAGTATCACCTGCACTGTTATCTCTTCTTACATGACAATATAACCTCTACTGTTATCTCTTCTTACATGACAGTATCACATCTACTGTTATCTCTTCTTACATAACAGTATCACTTCTACTGTTATCTCTTCTTACATACCAGTATCACTTCTACTGTTATCTCTTCTTACATGACAGTATCACTTCTACTGTTATCTCTTCTTACATGACAGTATCACCTGCACTGTTATCTCTTCTTACATTACAGTATCACTTCTACTGGTATCTCTTCTTACATTACAATATAACCTCTACTGTTATCTCTTCTTACATGACAGTATCACCTGCACTGTTATCTCTTCTTACATGACAATATCACTTCTACTGTTATCTCTTCCTACATGACAGTATCACTTCTACTGTTATCTCTTTTTACATGACAGTATCACCTGTACTGTTCTCTCTTTTTACATGACAGTATCACTTCTACTGTTATCTCTTTTTACATGACAGTATCACCTGTACTGTTATCTCTTTTTACATGACAGTATCACTTCTACTGTTATCTCTTCTTACATGACAATATCACTTCTACTGTTATCTCTTCCTACATGACAGTATCACTTCTACTGTTATCTCTTTTTACATGACAGTATCACTTCTACTGTTATCTCTTTTTACATGACAGTATCACTTCTACTGTTATCTCTTTTTACATGACAGTATCACATCTACTGTTATCTCTTTTTACATGACAGTATCACCTGCACTGTTAATTCTTTTTGCATGACAGTATCACTTCTACTGTTATCTCTTTTTACATGACAGTATCACCTGCACTGTTAATTCTTTTTGCATGACAGTATCACTTCTACTGTTATCTCTTCCTACATGACAGTATCACTTCTACTGTTATCTCTTTTTACATGACAGTATCACTTCTACTGTTATCTCTTTTTACATGACAGTATCACATCTACTGTTATCTCTTCTTACATGACAGTATCACTTCTACTGTTATCTCTTCTTACATGACAGCATCTCTTATAGTGTTTTTTTTTTAATCTTATCTCTTTCAAGAAATAGCATGACTTCTACTGTTTTTTTTATCTTATCTCTTCCAACAAGACAGCATCACTTCTACTGTTATTTTTTCCTATCTATTCCAACAAGACAGCATCACTTCTACTGTTATTTTATCTTATCTATTCCAAAAAGACAGCATCATTTCTACTGTTATTTTATCTTATCTATTCCAACAAGACAGCATCACTTCTACTGGGTTTTTTTTATCTTATCTCTTCCAACATTACACCATCACTTCTGCTGTTGCGTTATGTCTTCCAGACACACTATCTCTTTCCCGACACCAGTTTAACTCTCGCTGTGTGCAGGGTATCTCAAAGATTCTATACATAAGCGAAATATACACTTTTTTGTAATGATAACCTTAAATATACATATATATATATATTCTCTACATGACTGTCATTTGTTTGAAAATATATATCGAAGCATGTCCTTTAGCCTGTAATGGGGTTGCTGATGTTTTTGGTTCCTATGTATGGATATTTATGAGACACTTTTTAGTATTTTATATGTCAGCATTGTTTTTCGTTGTATTGTCATGTCTAGCATGAATTATCTCAACCGATATTGTCTCTTCTAGATTTCATATGCCTTCCATTATGTAAACCCCTTAGTCTTTCTTCTCGCTTTTAGAGCTTTATGTCATCTTTGGCTTGTGAATTATGAAGGAAATATATTAGGCTAACTGAAACGTAGAAAGTCAGCTTCACTTTATCACAAACACATACGTTAAGTGAACATTGGCGCTGGAGTGCTGTCTTTAGCAAGTTACAAAAAATGCACATTAAATAACTACACAATACCACAAACAAGAATAGATACACTCACTACACTGAAGTACTGTATTTATCCCTCTATAGGCTGCACCCAATTTCTGAGATGATATATCTAGGGGGGGGGGGGGGGGGGGGGAATAACTTTTGGTTTAGTATGTCCTGATACCAAAACAGAAACAGTAGTATCTGTAAGCAGTGAAAGATAGACCGGATGTGAGCAAGTTCAGTCAATCAATCAGCAAGCTCTTTACGGAAAGTCGCTTTCTTCAAGCACGCCTGAGAGTATCGCTTTTCCTAGTCAGTTCTACGGCCCCATGTGCTTTCAATGCTAATGCCTTTTCAACGTCCTGTACCCATCTTCGCGGTGGTCGACCCCTGCCGCGCCTTCCACAGACTGCACCTTCCATTACTGTCTTTTCCAAGCCACCATGACGCTTGATGTGGCCAAAATACTTCAAGTTTAGAGACAGGATGCTGTTTATAAGCCAGTTCTCTTTGATGTTCATCTCGTTTAGAATGTCGATGTTTTGCCTCTTCTTGATCCATAGTATTCTCTGAATTTTTCTATAGCATTTCAATTCAATTCAATTCAAAAGTTCCAGTCTTTTTTTCTCAGTGACTGACTAATAGTCCAGGACTACAACTGTCAGATGCCACAGGAAAAATGTCGCCAAAAATGAGCAAGTTATAGTTGTAAATTTAGAAGTGCTTAACACATAAGAAAATGGAAACTGGTCAGCTGGGATAGGGTTCTTGTAAGTAAGAAAAATGAAAAATGTGTAAAATGAATTAAATTGAAGATGCTCTTGAAAAAAAAAAAAAATTCAAAAGTTGACAATCTTTTTTGGTGACAAGAAAGCGAAATACCCGAAGGCAAAACCCAGTCTGCTGGAATATGTCTAGAAAATATGGCCAGATAGCATTTCTGTGTCTGTGGAAACGTTTAATGTGAAGCGTCTCAATTATCGGACACCATAGGAGTTCCACAGGGTGAACTTGAGGCCAGTTAGGTCTGGCTTGGGTGTTGCGAACTCGCTTCATAATGCCGGGGTGGCGGGTTCGATACCAGCTGCAGACATTATCTCTTGCGTTGGTTTCGACAGTGGTACCATGAGCTGACCGTTTAAAAACAATGGCAAACTACTGAGCTTAAACTTTGGCTAGAAAAACCAAAACAGCCAGAAAATGCTAGGTGTGGTTGTGCAACATCTTGTGAAGGACAAGCAACAAACTAAAACTGGGCGAGGCGCTTCATGGCACGAAATGATCTAGTAATTTAACAGCGGACAACAATGGGGGCAGGGACTTCCCAACACATGCTAGGAAAAAGTGAGTTTCAAAGACATGTTCGGAAATGACATGTTGGCTAATATTTTGAATGTAAGCCTCGTCCTATTTTTCCATCAAAGATTTTCCGTTAAAAGACTGCTGCCTTCTTCTTCGTCTTCTTCTTCGTCTTCTTCTTCTACTTCGTCTTTTTCTTCTACTTCGTCTTCTACTTCGTGTTCTTTTTCTACTTGTCTTCTTCTTCTACTTCGTCTTCTCCTTCCACTTCGTCTTCTTCTTCTACTTCGTCTTCTTCTTCTACTTCCTCTTCTTCTTCTACTTCGTCTTCTTCTTCTACTTCGTCTTCTTCTTCTACTTCGTCTTCTTCTTCTACTTCGTCTTCTTCTTCTACTTCGTCTTCTACTTCGTCTTCTTTTTCTACTTGTCTTCGTCTTCTACTTCGTCTTCTTCTTCCACTTCGTCTTCTTCTTCTACTTCGTCTTCTTCTTCTACTTCCTCTTCTTCTTCTACTTCGTCTTCTTCTTCTACTTCGTCTTCTTCTTCTACCTCGTCTTCTTCTTCTACTTCGTCTTCTTCTTCTACTTCGTCTTCTTCTTCTTAGAGTCCATGCCGTTTAGCGTTGGTTGTCATGTCTATACACAACCTTCTATCTCGTGTACTTTCAGTCAATTCTGACACAGATGATCTTCCATGCAATGATGTCAAACCGTCCAGCATATGTTCTCTCTGTCTCCCTCTGCCTCTCATCCCCTTCAACTTTCCTACTGTACGTTTTCTCCTTCTCATCACATCACCAAAGAATGAAGATTGTCTCTTTCTGATGTGGGCAACCAGTTCTCTTCATGAGTCAGTTTCTTTCAAAACGTCTTGATTACTCTCTTTTTTTTTTTTAAATCTGTGCAGGGTATTCTCATCATTCGTCTATAAAAGTAGAAAACAATCACATATATGCCTGGCCAGTAAACTTTGTGGCATGTGTCTCGCCACCACACCAATGAGTTAGGAACTCAGTTTCATAATTCTAACTTACTGTGATCGATTCAGCCAAAGGCGATTTGACAACAGGCCATTTTGTGTGATTTTGACTACCATTCAGAAAGCAATGAAACTAACGAGTGTGAAATTGCAGGAAAAGACTATAAATTGCTAATGAATGCTAGGATTGTTTTGTGTTTTCGTGTAAATGAAATACAACTAACCTAACCTTTCTTAAACGGTCTTATTTTCGCCAAAATGATTTCAGGTTTCAACCTACCGGCCAATGCAAAATGTTGCCACGAATGTCCAGACCCCATCCTGTGTAGTGAGAGCGGCCCCTATTGCTACAACGGTCTGGGCCAGAACAACAGGAAGACGTACGATAACTTTAGAAGAATGACTCAAGAGCTGTGCCTCCAGAACCTTCAATTTGACGATGACAGATACCAGAAAGGAGAATGTAGTGTCAACACTGGACCTCCAGGTAACCATATCTTTTGCCCCTTTGTCAGCATCATGATAATAGTAATATGTTGAATGTTGAATTAGGAATCGACATCACAGCCCTCGGGATACCCCTCATAAGCGCTCCGTCCCCTTCTCCAGTAGCAAGCGAAAAGTTAAAAATCCGATGGTACTAGTAACTGTCTGATTGTATATTCGTCTCGCCTTTCCCCTGAGTGTCGAGCGTCGGCCAGATCCCCTTGTAACTCCTCGCAGTGCCATTCTTCTCAGACCATCATTATAATTGTAATAACAGTATAACTGAATTCAGACATACATTCATCACTCTATACCTTCATACAAATAATCTGAGTCAAATCCCGCTCTGTATTTTGTAAACAAGATAATTCAGTCATAGTTCGCTTTCTAAGATAATTCATTCATAGTTCGCTTTCTAAGATAATTCAGTCATAGTTCCCTTTATAAGATAATTCATTCATAGTTCGCTTTCTAAGTTAATCCAGTCATAGTTCGCTTTCTAAGATAATTCAGTCATAGTTCGCTTTCTAAGATAATTCATAGTTCGCTTTCTAAGATAATTCAGTCATAGTTCGCTTTCTAAGATAATTCAGGCCATTCAATCTTATCTCACTCTATACTAGCTTACTGATAAGAGACTAAGACATTAATAAAATCTAGTATCCAAGAAATGTGGCTAGGTACACACACCAAATTCTCTCTTCAAGACTCACTTCATCGCCTCTCTAGAGAGGGGCAGTCTATTAAATTCAGACTAAGGACAGGGCATAACAGACTTCGTCAACATATGTTCAGACTTGTCGGTGTAGGAAACACGGGAGACATGAAGCTGCAACTTGGCAGCCGAAAATGCTGAGCATGTGCTCCAACACTGTCAACTGTATGCTGCCAACAGGGACGCAATGTGACCTGTTCCAACCACAATGAAGGCAAAACTGTGTGGTGCACGAGAAGATATGGACTGCATTGATAGCTTTCATACAGTTGACTGGCCTCAAGCATTTTCTCCAAGTGGTCAAACCATTTGATTTGCTGTGTTTCTATGTAATTTAGAATTGATCTCAGTACACTCACTACTAAGGTGTTGCGAGTCCGACTCGTAATCCAACGTAACGCGATCGAAACCCACTGCGGGCTGCGTGGATTTGTATCGTGGTATGGGACGTCGCAGGTCGACCCAGCCTCAAATGGGTACCAGGATGGGCTGTCCTGGGAAAGTAAGGACAGCTGGCGTAATGCTGACCACATAACCCACCGAGTGCTGATTGTCTGTAAAAATATGGGTGCTCTTCCCATATGCCCGATACACCTAAAGGCGTGGAAGGGATCTTTACTTACACTCACTAAAGGAGGTTTGTTACTGTTCATGCCAGAGCCTCACCATGCTTGACTTATACTTTTAAAAGTCGATCGGCATCAAAACAAATCATGTTCATTCTCATGTAGCCATGTTTGTTAGGCTGGGTCGACCCAGTGTGGATTTGAACCCATGGCTTTCTGGTTGGTAGGCAAGTGTCGGGTTACTACACCTTTGTGGTTGCCACTCATCATCTCATCTCATCATATCATTTCATCTCAGTAAATTATCTTCTCATCACATCACCTCATCTCATCACATGATCTTAGCACATCATCTCATCATCTCATCGTCTTATCACATCTCATCACAACATCCCATCATGTCATCTTATCTCATCACATCATTTAATTTCATCTCGCATCTCATCAATTCATCTCACCACATTATCTCATCTTATAACTCATCACATCATCTCATCTAATCTTATCACATCACTTGATCTCATCTCATCAAATTATCTCATCTCATCACATCTCGTCAGATCGTCTCATTTCATCACATCATCTAATCACATCATCTAATCACATCATCTCATCTCCTCACATCGTCTCATTTCATCACATCAGTCCATCACATCATTTCATCACATCACCTCATCTCATCATCTCATCTCATCATCTTATCTCACTTTATCTGATTTCATCTGACTCGTTTTGAACTTTGTGGTAATGAGGGAAAGCATACTTTACAAGGAAGTGCCCGTTGGTTCGCTCCCACAGTTATGTAATAATTAGACTTTTTTTCTGGATCGTCCGTGAACCCAATGATTACTGGCTTCCCGTGCATTACGACATTTGACCTAATCTATGGATGTCCCCATATATCTTAACGTGTATTATTCGTATCCCTGTTTCATGGTCTATCACAAACGCATTGAGACAATTATTATATAAATGACTATAGCATGTCTACAAAATGCACATAGGTCTGCACAGGTGAAGCTTAGTCTTCCAAATTAAAGTTCAAATTTAAGTGCCGGGGATGGATTTCCTTGCACCAAGTTGTTCTATAAAGAGTGGTCTCTCGCCGCAGAATAGCTAGCTGTTTATGGGCGTAGATGAAAATGCAAGCGCTGAAAGGCTGGCTAGTTCCACTATCACTACCGACGGTCAGCCTATGGATCATGCTGATATTATTAATGCCCTACGAGAAATGGGAAGGTAGGAGGACTTTGTGGGCAGTGAATCCACATTATTCGCCAGCTAGGCAGACAACCAGGCAGATAGACAACCAGCCAAGCAGCCAGCCAGCCAGACAACCAGACCGACAGACAGTCAGCCAGACAACCAGACCGACAGACAGTCAGCCAGACAACCAGACCGACAGACAGTCAGCCAGACAACCAGACCGACAGACAGTCAGCCAGACAACCAGACCGACAGACAGTCAGCCAGACAACCAGACCGACAGACAGTCAGCCAGACAACCAGACCGACAGACAGTCAGCCAGACAACCAGACCGACAGACAGTCAGCCAGACAACCAGACCGACAGACAGTCAGCCAGACAACCAGACCGACAGACAGTCAGCCAGTCAACCTGACTGACAGTCAACCAGACAACTATCCAGACAACCAAAAAGCCTAACAGACAGACAGACAACCCGACAGACAGACAGACAGTCAACCTAGCTTGAAAAAATAAAAATTTAAAACACCATTGCTTTAATTTCTGATATTGGCTTATTACCGAACCAGGACCAGCTGCACCGATTAACTGTGATGACCCAAACATTTGTAAAGGAAAATTTGCTCCTCCACAGAATCTTGCAACAGGTAATATTTTGGTGTGTGCGTAGCTACGTATGGGTGTGTATGGCGTTTGTGTGTATGGCGTTTGTGTGTACACAATGTTTGTGTATATTGTATATACAGTTGATGTGGTGTATATAATAGTGTAAGTGTGTATACATAATGTTAGTGTGTGTGTGTATACAATGTTTTTGTATATGTGTTTTCGTTAGTATGTGCGTATATGTCTGCCTATATATCTTGGTGTGTGTGTATATGTACGTTGTGGGCGTATATACATACATACATACATACATACATACATACATACATACATACATACATACATACATACATACACACACACACATACACACATACACACATACACACATACACACATACAAACAGACAGACAGACAGACAGACAGACAGACAGACAAACTGACAAACTGACAGACAGACAGACACAACCCACCCACCCACACACACAGACAGACAGTCAGACAACAGACAGACAGACAAGACATAAACGGCAGACAGATATATTCAACTCGAGTCCTGCGCCCCCCCCCCCCCCCTCCCTACCCTGTGACGATCCATGTTCTCAACAGTGTGGCACCTGAGTCAACTTAGCTGACTACTCCTGCTCTCTGGCAAATTACGGATGAGTAGCAGATGTAGAAATATATTACGATATAAAGATTTTTACCGGTGGGGCATGAGTGATACAGGTATTGAGATGGATTTTTGGAAATCGGATGCCATTGACCTTGTTGCATGGAAGGGGAAAGATGGAGGGGTTAGAGGTGAAGGAGAACATGAGTGCAGATAGGTCAAGAACTTAGCGTCTGGGGAAACGGCCGTTAGATACATTCAATGGCAATAGTTGTCCTAACTATCCTTGCTCGAATTGTGGAGGGCGTCTTAACACGAGTAGATCTTGTTAGTAGTTACAGTTGCC